GAGAAGACGCTCAGCAGGTTGGATATAATTTTTGTTCCGACCTCCCACCAGTCTACTCTTGCAGGAAAGTGCTCCTGATGTTTTGACCATCTCTCCCAAACTGCACTATGCAATTTCGCAGCCTCGGGTGCGCCAATTTTCCCACATCTAAACGAAAATACCCTTTCCCCCTGGGTAGGTCCTCCCCCGTCTGCAGCATTGCCGTTACTGAGCAGTGATCACAGAGCGGATGACTCTGAACTCGGATCTTGATCATGACCCCTCATCCTGCTATGTTCGTCAGAAACCGTGATGGGAAAACCATGGATACGCATTGTCCATCGGATGGGTTAATTTGAACGGATCGCACAAAGCAAAGTTGGTCATGAAGTCTGTAAGCGAGATTAACACTCCCACCGAGTCATGGCCCCCTATATCCTTATTGTCATCCGGGGACTTATTCCAATCTCCTACCAGGACCAGATTATTGATGTTTGACTAACAAGCAGGGGAGATCTCTCATAAACGCTTCTCTCCTTTCAGCGAACCGGGGCACACACCATTGCTGCAACTCAATCTTCCTGACCTATCCCCAGTTTCACTCATGCCCATCTCCCCCAGAGATCAATGTAGGGGTTGATGATTTCTATGTCCAAGTTCCGACGAATAAGAACAGCCACTCCATCGCTTACTCCCTGTGCGAGCGACCATACCTGTGGGCCATCCCACCAACTGCCAAGCTTCTCGAGTTTAACCTCATTTAACTTCGTTTCTTGTAGACAGATGATCGAGATGTCTTCTTTTGGCGTCTCCTGTTTGCTTATCTGTGAGGGTGAATTTGCAAGCGGTTCATTGCAGAGATCTTGTGAGCACAGTTAAAGTCTCCCTTCAGAGAAGCTAGCCTCTCTCTTATGGCTCCAGTCACATCTGGCGGTTTGGTCCACCATCTGGCTCAATGAGAGAAATATCCAGGTGGAAACCAGGTGTGACAGATGTAGATGGACACATGAAACTGTGCAGCATGTGGTGTAACTGCCGGACCTTGAGGAATTTCATTGGAATAATTTCTCAGGGAAGACGGAACCTTTGGGGAGATGGTGGGCACTGACCGGGACTCTTCCTCCTGAGTTGCAGTCCAGAAAAGGGTGGGGTTATTTGGCCAAGTTGGCCGAGCAATTCTACTTTGGATTATTGGCTTAATGGGAATTGTTTTCAGATTTCAGGGCAAAGCAATTGTGGAGGAAAGAGGAAAACAGCTGTTCAAAGGGCTTCTCCATAATCATTTTTGAGCTGACTGGAGGCGAGAAGGATCAAGGGTTGATGAAAACAGGAGCCTTCTCTGGTTCTGCAAAACCTGGTGCAGGTGTTGCATGGCTTGGAACAACCAGCTGGATCTGCTGGAGTTGTTCTGGGGCTGTTATTACATTTTGATGGACTGACAATGGCAGGAACAGCTTCGATTTCTTGGGCTGCGGGATATTCATTCCGTAGGAGGGTCCGTCTGCGCATGCAATGCTACCAATGAAGAACCTGAACACCCTACAGGTTCCGCACTGTCCTTGATTCGGTTTCCTTCAGAGATTGTGCGGGGGATGCCTTTGCTTCAGGGTGTGTTGCACAGAGTTGATGTTTGCCCCTTAATGAGATGGCTGATTCTGATCTGTCTGTTGTGTTTCAAAAAGGAAGTCAGACTGCCTCTTGGTAAGCTAGCTCAAGATACTGTCACTGGGCCAAACCTGAGCCTTAAACCACCACTACCTTCGAGCCAAATTTTCCAGAGGTGGAAAAGAACTGCGCGCAAAGCGTGTTTCTCTTTTTGTTTTGTTTTTCTTTCCCCATTTTGCTGGCACCTCCAGCCATTGTGGTCCGGTAGCACTATTCGCCTGAAGAACCTGGAATGTTGTAGGTGGCAGTGGTTTAAAGATCTCACTTATAAAGGTAAGACCCCGACTTGTAGTTTCTGCTCTAGCTTACCAAAGCCAAGTTGAAAATCGGACAAGCTTGTACCTGAATAGAGTAACGTGAGGGGCTGACCCTTCAAATGAAAATCAGAGAACATTCATGCTGAGTTCAGCACACAAATGTGCCGCTCTGTGCTGTGATTGGGTGCTGGCCTTTTTTCTCTTCCATCAGTCTGGGTGCTGGCCTTTTTTCTCTTCCATCAGTCTGGGTGCTTTCATATGTTGCATGTTGAGAGCTCTGACAGTGGGAAGGTGCCGAGGTTAGGCTAATCTCTGTGTACACGATGTCATCACTAGTACTGCTGTTGATTGACCATTTGTGCTTTTGTGCCTTTTTTTGTGCAGAGGCAGTCTTTTTTTTTGTTTGGTATGTTTCACGATGCACGTTACAGTCGTTTGCTCCAATAGAACAAGTGTGTGTGAATTGGCCCAGGGATGCTTGCACTCGGGGCTCTTTTTCTTCGGGAATGTTGGATTGCGAGTTGAAAATAAAGGAAAAAGAAGTTTGAATTACTACATGCATAGCAATCATTGGTCTGCCTTCTCCCCCCGCCAGTGTGCAAGGGACACGAAAATACCATCTGATGATCACATGTTCTGATCGTGCTGTCCACAACAGGTAGACAGGTCGTAAGGAGGAATGTCAGAGGAGCAGGGAGGCAATTTTTGGTCTCTCGTAAGATTCTCATCCAAAGGAGAGACGCAGGTATCGGAAGGGCGAGAGTAGAAGGTACAAGGGTACAGACCAGGATCTGACGGTCAATCCTTCGAAAAGGAAGCAATCAATGCCGTCAAGATCACTTAGAAAAGGAAAAAGAAAGAATCAGTTTAAGTGAATTTAGGGCCTCCGAGAGTAAAACAGGGTAGAGCAGAGGTACATCCTTATGGCAAGGAAGCAATCAATGCCGCTGTCTGAGGATCTCCCGGCCATAGCGGGGAGAGGCGTGGAGTGGATACCATTGATGTAAGGGATGCCGGAGAGAGGGAGGTATCAGAAGGGGGAGAGTAGAAGGTATAGGGGTACAGACTAGGATCTGACACCAGTGGTTAACGGGGTAAACTGTTTTCATTGCTGAAACCAGTTTTTTTTGGCCAAATCTTCGCTTTCTTGTGATTTTCTTTTTTTGACTGTTGGAATTGTGTTTGGTGACCATTTCTCAATGGTCTGATCTGACGGTCGATCCTTCCAGAAGGAAGCAATCCATGTCGTCAAGATCAGTTTAAGTGAATTTCTGGGCTTGGAGAGTAAAGCAGGGGTAGAGCAGAGGTACATCCTTCCGGTAAGGGAGCAAACAACGCCGCTCTATCAGGATCTCCCAGCCATCACGGGGAGAGGTCTACAGTGGGTACCATTGATGTAAGGGGTGCTGGACCCGGTTTCCAGCTTTTTTTTCCCCTTATTTTTTTTCTTACAGGGCGATGACCTTCAGATATCGTCATGGAACTGACTTGCCGTTGGTAACTCAGAATTGTACTCGTCTGCTTCCAGTGGAGTTCCAACTCATGTCTGTATTTCAGCAGTTCAGGTGTGCAATGATACGCAGCCCGTCTGGCTGAACGGTACACCCATGAACTGTTAATAAGCAGGCCTAAGTTGGAATCCAGACAATCAGATGAGTAAAATATCTCTGAATTTACCTGGGGCTGGTCAGTTCGATGATGATATCCCAAGGCCCTTGCCCTTAAAAATAATAATAATAATAATAAAAAAAATAAAACAGGCCCTTATGGCCCTGGCTCCATTTCCATTCTGGGGAGCATCAGTCCGGTTCCTATTCCACCGGCAAGTCAGGAAAAATAATTACATCATAGGACACCCTCACACTTCGTTCCGTCTGGCCTAAGGAACCCTGATCAGCATCGAAGGCCCTTGCCCTTTTAAGAGGGAAAAAATACCAAAGGTGCGATTGAAACGGTTTTCACCTTTTAGCAGTAGCGGATGCAGTACCCAGTGTTCGATCCCTAGACCTCACCCTACCCATGTACAGTATCTGTGTAGACCCCGAGAATTGAACCTGTGACCTGTGTATTCGTAGGCAGTTGGTAGGCCTGTCGTAGGTCCATAGGCAGCAGGGGTTCGATCTGTAGGTCTATAGCGTATGAGTCTTAGTGAGTTCCGGAAGCTTAGCTGTAGACCTTCTAGAAGGTAGGCAAGTGGGTAAGTGGTCAAGTGGTGAGGCAAGTGGGTAAGTGGTCAAGTGGTGAGGCAAGTGGTGGACTAAACCGCAGTGCAACAGCAGTACAACGTCGGTAGGATAGCGGTGAGTCCACAGTCAGTCAGTGGAAGGTCCAGTCAGTCCCAGTCCGGTCCAGCAAGTACCACAGGGGGACTGTGAGCACCAAGGGCCGATGGCAAAGGGCAGACCAACGAGTTTCTGAAGTATAAATCAAG